CGGTGAAAGGCTTCCCACTCGACACGAGTGAGATGAAGGAAAGCGGCATGCTCCAGGGCTCACTTTGAAGCTTTAGACGTCTGGCCTTGGCTCATTGTGAACTTGGTCATGGGAAGGACTACAAAGTGCTACCAGGTGTAACGGGCCTAGAGTGTCCGTTACTAGCTAACACGTAACAATGAGGAAGCGTACAAGTTTCAGGATAGTGAAACCAAGTGCTTAGTCTGAAGGAAAATCAACTCTGTTTTTATTTAGGTCCAGGGCAGCTTGTCCTGACCACTCAAATACACGTCAACTCCTTATTGGTTGATAATGGGTCTGGCTTCCCATATATCAACCAATATGATGACGGGGGCTCAGCACACGCTAGCCGTGTGCTGCTGCACCTACTTTTGTAATATAAATCTATCTACTTATGTATAGACCCCTTTATCCTCCCACCGTTTTAGATACAAGCAATGCTCTTTCTTGCATCTAAAAAAGCCTAAATCTTTAAGGAATTCATTGATAGCTCCATACCAAATTCTAGGGGCCTGTTTTAAGCCGTGCAAACTTTTGAGCACCTTACATACTAGGTTTCTGTTGCCTTCACGAAATCTTAGCGGTTGCCTCATGTATATACTCTCACTTAAAACACCGTTTAGATATGCAGTAGATACATCCATTTGATGTAAATACAGTCCTAGAATTGTAGCCAATGCGAGCATAAGCCGCAGAGATTCATATCGAGCTACAGGAGCAGATACCTCTTTTTAATCAATACCATACATTTGGGTATTCCGTTGAGCTACAAGCCGAGCTTTAAAGCGATCTACAGACCCATCAGCATTGTATTTAATATCAAAGAGCCAATGGCAGCCAAGTGACATTCGTCCTTTTGGAAGAGGTACTACCTCCCATGTATTATTACTTAAACGCGCATCATACTCAGCTTTAATAGCACACTCCCACTGCTTAGCATGTGGGCTAGATCGAGCCTCTTTTATCGATTTCGGAATTGGTATTTTAGGCATGTTAGCCGTTACAGCATGCAGCCGTGTGACATAACCTCTGAGCCGAACGTTCGGTAACTTTTGGCGTTTTGACCTACGTACGTCACTTTGTGACCTGTTTTGTACTCCCACTGTTTGAGATCTCGGCGGTCGTGAACTTCTGGACTCAACAGGTGTTGCCGCTACAGCTTCAATATCACTTTTAGCTCGCTTTCCTAAATTGTGAATAATACTTTCTTCTTGTGTATTATTACTACTATCCACAATAGTACAGTAGGAGAAAACTTATCATCTCGATCTTATAAGGATTTGTTAGCTTGTACATCTAACATCCTGTATCCCTTATATTTAGGAGAAAGTCCTAAAAGCTCTTAGCTTTGGGTCCTTTCGTTATTATTTGGGAACATGTGCATAACATGTAGAGCCCCATATTATTAATGCTAAACCATTGGTTTCTTACGGTGCAGTAGCTCATAAGGGGTCTTCATCCCAAGTCTAGTCATAGGTAGACGGTTAGTGATGTCCACAATGTATAATAAGGCCTCCGGTCAGCACTTAGCAGCCATATTGGCACCCCTTAGCGCACAGCGGACCTCGGCCATCATGGTCTGGTGAGACCTCTCTGCGCTACCGTTTTCTTCTTGAGATTCTACATTTGAGCTCTGAAATACCAATCAGAGTTTTAAACACAGTTTAGATACCTCCTTATTTATAAATTCTGAGCCTCCGTCAGTTTTAATTAGGCGTACCTGAAATGACGGAAATTGCACTGACAATTGTTTCAACAGGGTTTTTATTTTACCCGGTATCTCTTTTAGAGACTTGACTACAATTTACCACTTATAGGCAGTTGCATCATCGACAACGGCTAACGCATAGTAATAGCCAAACGACCCATAAAGACCGTTTACTCTTATCCTTCCGGCTGAGTCCATATGCAACGTATGCAGAGGCTCAGTAGCCTTGTTTCCGATCATATTTCTATATGACATCCTGCGGTCCGTCATGCGGTCACATGTATTACAAAAGAAGGGTACTTTATTGAGTTTAGAGTAGGGGATATTAGGCAAACCCTCCATTTTCTGGTTACTCATACTCCTAATTAGCCTCTCTCTACCGACATGGCCTAATCGTAAGTGCCATTCTTTGAGGATATCACCCAATTTTTCACTTTGAGCACTAAATACACTCGTCTTCGATGGCTTTACACTCGGCAGGTAGTAAACCTCACCTTTCGCTACTGCTGAGAAGAGAAGTTTACTGTCTTTTCCTAAAAAGCACACAACCTTTTATGACTTTGCTTGGATGTGACTGTAACCTTGTTTAGCCAGATAGAATGCACTCAACAAATTGCTATCGCACTTTTGGTCAAATGATATCAGTTAATGTTACAGAACTCAACCTCCTACTAGGGTTCAAAACATGTAGTTTTATTGATCCCTTAAGTGTACTGTGAGAGGTGGATCCATTACCGTAGGTGAATGTGTGGCTCTGGCCAGGTTGGACGCTCCCTCTAAACCAGTCTCTATCTGGTGTTATAGCTCGACCAGCACCCGGATCAACCACCCACATATCATCCGACAGAGTAAGCCTTTCTAAGAGACTCAAATAAGAGGCATAACGTTTACTTACCTCTGCTTCAATGCCATCCATAGTTTGAGGCGACTGGAGCGGTGTCTTTGCTGACTTACCGCAATCCTCAAAACCCTCATGGTGCGCTGGGTCCAAGCTTTCAATGTCGTCCATGTCCTCATCGTCAGCACATTTCTCCAAAAAGGTCTTTTCACCCACTTTTAGGCGCTCCATACCTTCGCTCATGATTGCCCTAATAGTGTTAACCGCAGTTGTCTTGGCCCCTTTTTTTAGCCTTCTTAGCCCCCGGCGCAGTGTTAACGTCAGTCCTAAATAGGTATCCACCTGCTCGATTTGGGTCTCTGTCAGCCAGCTTTTGGGGACATTCCGGCTTGAAGTGGCCAGTTTGGAAGCAGTAGAAACAACTTCTTTCACCTTCGTTTCCACTGGGTTTTTGCTTTGCGCCCTGCTTGACCCGCACATTGTTGACAGTAACTGCATGGGACTTATCCATAAGTCCCACCTCTTTCTTCGTATTGTCCCCGAAAATCCGGCGCAATAACTTTCCACCTGATCCACGGTAAAGTCCTCCTTTTTCATTGAAATTGAGGATTCCCAAAACTCACTGGGCAGCTGAAACAGCACTTCAACGCAAAGTCGTGGCTCTGTCACCAAGTCCTGCCCCAAAAGCTTGCGAGACTTCCTATTAATCTCTTTTTTTGCTTTGTTAAGTTGCGCGAACAAAGTTCTTAAGTCGCGCCAAGGAGTGCGTGCCAACTTAGATCAGGCTCTCGTTAACTCAATGAGGCCGGCTGCATCTCCTTGCCCAAAATCCTTTTCGAGGAGTCGAATAACCTCACATGGATCCATTGAGGAAACCACATCCGGTAGGGTGGACAAAAAGAAGTTGGAAAGAACCTGATTCAACAGGTTCTGAAGGTCTCCCCTTGCCCTTGTCCAATGCATCACCTCCCACCGCATTGCGTACGCCTCTTCTGTGGCGGTTTCGGTGGTCGGCGACGCCGGCTTTTCGGGGTTGCTTCTGAGGAAGTCAGCCATCAGTACCTTCGCTTCGGGGTGCCTCTTCTCAAGCTGCTTCGTTTGGTACACGTGGTCCAATTGGTTGACGTGTGTAAGTAGCTTATCCTTCCACATTGTGTAGGACTTGCCGTTAAACTTCTCGAGGCCGCCACCAGACCTCGCATCGGTAGTAATCGTACTTGAAATGTTGTGTCGGACGAGTAGTTGTAGTTGTAATGCCGTCAGTAATTGGAAAGTGAGATGGCACGCACCATCTCTCCGTAACATCCCTCGGCTTTTCCTTTTGTTGGCCAATGCTGGCCTATTTTCCTTTGGCTGGCTGTTAGTGCATCTACTGTCTTAGCCAATAAGAGCTGATTTACATTCTTTAAGCCTATCATATTACTTCAATTGGTAGCATACAACGTGATGTATTCTTTGGTACAACAGTAAGCTACTCGTTAGGATGTCTTCAGCTATTAAGAAAATTGGCGTGACTGCTTTTGCTCCGGGTGCAGTCTACCGGTACATGATTTTGTGCAGGACAAACTAAGTATTGCACTGGAGAATCTAAAGAGCATGGCCTGCTCAAGAATTTTTTTTTTTGGAACGAATACTTTTTTTGCTATGATGGCACTTGTACCTGCAGGTGCACAAGGTAGATGAGTGAGGAAATGTACATGTCGACAGGGATATCGAAAAATAAATTGGTGCTGCAACTTTTGCAATTAGAATTCTATTGGGGGCTTTCTGGAGAGGAGGACCAATTATTTATTTTCGCTCCCGTAGTAGCACCAATATTCTATTGGGTGTTCAATCAGATTAGTACTTGTGCCCTCGCAGGGTACATGTACCAATATTGCAGCACCAATAATCTATTTTCTGAGTTAAGGAAGTTCAATAATCTATTTTGGTCTAGCCCCCAGTTATGCTTTGATTAGCAAGATAAAAATGCAATACCGTATTCGGCATCCCTGCATGTCGAGCACAAATCGAATCGCGAACGCCACGGTTGTTGACTACGTTTCAGTATGGTAGAGGTGATTTATTTAGTGTGTCGACACCTTTGAACATCCTCATTATGACGAACATGTCGTATGTAGATATTCAAGGAGGCGCTGGGCTACTTGATGAACAACTTCATGGATTCTGTAGTAGGTGCCAACCCAAAACGCTCACGACGTTGACAAGATTCGACGCAAGCTGGAACATGTTGGGGAGGAAGACTTCCAGCTCGAGATGACCGCGAAAAATCGTCTTCTCGTACATGGCAGCGCATCCATGTTAACGCGGATCAACTCGAGCGTTGCGTACGTGGAACTAGTCCAATACCCACCAGGAAGCACACAAACGCTATTACCATTGTCTTTATATCCCTCGTAAGGGCAGAAAATCAAAAAAGAATTGTCAAAAAAAGCTACTTGTTCGCTGGTTGCTTGCTACGTAGACTTGATCTTCGTCCGTCCCTCCTCTTAGAAGCCGATCTCGTATTTGCGCGCCAACTGCTGCTGATACTGCGCGTCCGAGCCGAATGACAGCGCCATCGACTGCTGCGACGACGCCTGGCCGTACGACGTTGTGGAGCTCTGGTACGACGGCTGCATCGACTGCATGGACGACCCCGCCGGCAGCGACAACGTGGCGCCGTTCGAAGACTGGGCGAGTCTGCTGTTGTTCATGCCGTTGGCAGTGAACTGACTGGCCCAGAGCTCCGACTCCGTGTCCGTCTGCGGGTCGTACTTGATGACCGAGTCGCTGCGACGAGAGTCGTCGTTCGAGCGCACCATCCACGCGCGGATGTACGTGCTGAAGACGATGAGTTGGCGTACGAACCAGACGAGAATCACGATCGAGTTGATGCCGATGTACGCCTGCGCCACGCGCGTCCGAGCCGTGGCCGACATGGAGTCGGAGTTGAGGAAGGCGAACGCCAGACCGAAGTTGAGGATCTTGAGCAGACCCAGGACGTACGTGATCCGAAGCACCATTTGGTCGGCGAACGGCGACAGGATGAAGACGCACGCGAGGTACAGCGCCTGGATGCCCATAACCACCAGCAGCTGCGTCGGGTCACCGGACACGCAGCCGACCAGGATCCCCGTCGTGATCTGAACCACCACGTCGATCACGAAGAACATGCGACTACGGTACGCGTACTCGCAGTACAGTGAGCCCCACGTTGCCAGGTTCTCGAACTGCTCCAGCTCGTCCTTGGTCTTGTGCATGATCACACGACCCGCGACGGCCAGCACGCCGAAGCACACGAGCACCAGAGCGATGACGGCGACGACAAGCGAGTCGGCGATCGTCGAAGCCTGAACCTCCATGGAGATCTCGAACGACGCCAACATACTCAACGGGAACAAGGCAAAGTACCAGACCAGCACACACAGACCGAGCGCACGGATGGACACGCTACGCAGACGGTGCACGCCGGACGTGTAGCTGCTCATGTCGGACGTATCGTCCAGTGCACGTTCGGCCTTGCGTTTAGCCAGCATAGCGAGAACCAGGAAGACGACCAGGAGGATGCCCATGATCACTGCAAAGCCCACGGCGCCGTGATTCAGGATACTCTCCTCGGAGATGCCGATACGGTCGGCGTACGACACCAGTCCACCCAGGACGATCGTTTCGAGACGACGCGCGCCGGCGTCACTGGACGACGTGTCCTGGATCAGGAAGTTGCTCCACGCGAACGAGTCCGTGTAGTCCCATAGGAAGTATGGCGTCTTAAGTAGAGTCAGCTCGGACGTCGCCTGCATCTGCTGCAAGTAGCCCACGTAGAAGAGGAACTCCCACGTGTTGGGACTCCACGCCGCGTTGACCCACAGCAGGTTAGCATCCAACGATACGAAGTGGAAGAAGAGCAACAGAGCCACAGAAATACCGGCGAACGCTACGGACGAGTAGCGTAGGAACTCGTGGAAAGAGGCAGCTGACGCAGACAGCACATCACTGTCCTCCGTGTCCACGTACGTGTTGCGTCCTCCAATCACGTTGCCGTTGTTGGCGGCTGTGCTGCCCGACGTTGCCGTCTTCCCTCGGACGTACGTCACCAGGCCCTCCGAGCCGGTTTTGGCGGTATCTCCGGCGATGTTCAGTACCACCGGCTTCTCCGTTTCCGTGTCGTCGTCTGGGATGGCGAACGGATCGTACGAGCTGCTCTTCGCCGTCATCGGCGTGGCAGATGCGTTGAACATGATCACATCCGACTGCGTCTGGTCCTTTATCTCCGACGCGTCCTGTTCGTCCTCACTGCCCGAGTTCGTCTCGATGGCAATGGGCGACTTCGTTGCCGTCGGCGTCTTCGTAACAGGAGCCGGCGACTCCGTCTCGTCAGGGGAGGCCGTCACAGGTGCAGGTGACACGGTGGTGTCGTCGGATGAACCAGACGACGTGTCCGGCTCATCAGTCTTGGATGGCTTGTCTGTAGCAGGCGTCTCTGTCGACGGGGTCTCAGTTGACGGAGTAGCCGTTGACGGGGTAGCAGTAGACGGAGTCTCGGTGGACGGAGTCTCTGTTGCAGGCGGGGTTTCGGTTGACGGCGTCAGAGTCACGGGGTTTTCAGTCCCCGGCGTCAGCGTCAGCGGTGTGTCCGTCGGCGGGATTAGCGTCACGGGTAGGTCGGTTGACGGGATCAAAGTGAGCGGTACGTCCGTTGCTGATGGAGTGGTGGTGGCACTAGGCACCAGCGTCGGGAGGTCAGGCAAAAGCGTCGCCGGTGAGTCCGTCCCTGAAGGCGTCAGTGTCGGGAGGTCAGGCAGGAGCGTAGCCGGTGAATCCGTCCCTGACGGTGTCAGTGTCGGGAGGTCAGGCAGGAGCGTAGCCGGTGAATCCGTCCCTGACGGCGTCAGTGTCGGGAGGTCAGGCAGGAGCGTAGCCGGTGAATCCGTCCCTGACGGCGTCAGTGTCGGGAGGTCAGGCAGGAGCGTAGCCGGTGAATCCGTCCCTGACGGTGTCAGTGTCGGGAGGTCAGGCAGGAGCGTAGCCGGTAAATCCGTCCCTGACGGCGTCAGTGTCGGGAGGTCAGGCAGGAGCGTAGTCGGTGAATCCGTCCCTGACGGCGTCGTCGTGGCGCTAGGAGCCAGCGTCGGGAGATCTGGCAAGAGCGTGGCAGGTAATGGCGCCGTCGTGGCGCTGGGTACCAGCGTAGGGAGATCCGGCAGGAGCGTCACTGGCGATGGAGCAGTTGTTCCTGACGGTACCGTCGTAGGAGCTGTGGTGAGCAGATCCGTGATTGGGTCCAGAGGCGACGTGGTAATGGGGGACAGAATCGACGTGGGAGCAGGCGCGTCTGTTGCTGACGGAGCGTCCGTGTCTGGGGTCGGCGTCAGCAAGTTCGTCACCGGGGAGAGGATCGAAGGTGCATCAGTCGCCGGTGTCGACGGGGCATCCGTATCGGGTGCCGGCGTCAGCAAGTTCGTCACTGGGGAGAGGATCGAAGGAGCATCAGTCGCCGGTGTCGACGGGGCATCCGTGTCTGGTGCCGGCGTCAGCAAGTTCGTCACTGGGGAGAGGATCGAAGGAGCATCAGTCGCCGGTGTCGACGGGGCATCTGTATCGGGTACCGGCGTCAGCAAGTTCGTCACCGGGGAGAGGATCGAAGGAGCATCAGTCGCCGGTGTCGACGGGGCATCCGTGTCTGGTGCCGGCGTCAGCAAGTTCGTCACTGGGGATAGAATCGAAGGAGCATCGGTCACCGGGGTCGACGGGGCATCCGTATCGGGTGCCGGCGTCAGCAAGTTCGTCACTGGGGAGAGGATCGAAGGAGCATCAGTCGCCGGTGTCGACGGGGCATCCGTGTCTGGTGCCGGCGTCAGCAAGTTCGTCACTGGGGAGAGGATCGAAGGAGCATCAGTCGCCGGTGTCGACGGGGCATCTGTATCGGGTACCGGCGTCAGCAGGTTCGTCACTAGGGAGAGGATCGAAGGAGCATCAGTCGCCGGGGTCGTCGGCGATGAGGGAGCGTCTGTGTCCGGTGCTGGTGTCAGCAGGTTCGTCACTGGCGATAAAATCGAAGGGGCATCGGTCTCTGGAGGCGAGGGGGCATCAGTCGCTGTCGGCGCTGAGGGAGCGTCTGTGTCTGGCGCTAGCGTCAGCAAGTTCGTCACAGGGGAAAGAATCGAGGGAGCTTCCGTCGCTGTCGGCGCCGAAGGAGCATCCGTGTCTGGCGCCGGTGTCAACAAGTTGGTCACCGGGGATAGCAGAGACGGAGCGTCAGTCGCGGGCGTCGACGGAGCTTGCGTCGCCGTTGGCGTCGAAGGCGCATCCTTGTCGGGCGCTGGTGCTGGTGTCAGCAAGTTGGTCACGGGGGAAAGAATCGAGTTCGAGCTGGGCGATTCGGGTGTCGGCGCTTCCGTCGCAGGCGTCGACGAGTCCTCCGTAGTCGTCGGAGTGGACGGCGCTGTTGTAGCAGTGGGGGTGTCCGCGTCCGGCGCTGGCGCTGGCGTCAACAGGTTAGTAACCGGGGACAGGAGAGAGTTGCTCGAGCTAGGAGAGTCTCCCGTCGATGGGGTAGAGTCTGTTGACGGCGTGGCGTCCGAAGGTGCGTCGGCTGTGGATGGCGTGGATTCTGACGTAGTGCTCGTCGACGGGGAAGACTCGCCCAACGGCGCCGAGGCAGGAGTGTCCGAGGTGTCTGAGGGCGCTACTGTGGCTGCGTTCGTGACGGTGTCTAGGTTCACTCCTGTATCGAGGTCGAGCAAAAGTTTGCGGGGCGTGTCGACGGTCAGAGCGTGTGTCTCGGTGGCGAGCGCGACGGCCAGCGCCGCGAGCGCCAAGCCGCGCACTGCGCGCATGTGCACCATGTCTGTCTGTCCTGTTCAGTCAATCAAAGTGTACGTCGACGCGCAAGCAGCGTCGAGCGTGGGGGAGCAGCAACCGAAAGCGATTGATGGAATGACGGGCACGCGAGTAGGCGACGCCGCGATAGGCTCGAGGAGGACGGTAGAAGCGGAATGCGGGGCTGGGCCGTGCAGCCAGGTGTTGTGTGTTCGAAGCTCGCATTTGATTGGCAGAGGCGCAGAAGGGACACTAAAGGTGTGTAGACGAGACGATAGAGTCGGACTGACACTGAATACATGGGACAGTGTACCGTTCGGTGGAGCCAAGTCACAGCTTTGACTGTAGCCAACTTGGCTGCCAAGTGGCCAAAATGTGAAATTGTGGAAACGTTGCTTGCCAGGGGATCGCCGATCCCGGGCTGCTGTGGACCGTCCGGGCGCCCGGTAGGAATGTGCTCGCGCTGGGCTGCGAGAACGCTGAGAAACGGACGTTACAGGCGGTTCGCTCTGTCTGCTGAACTCGACAACATTGCATACGTGGCCAGGCCATCTATTCACAACGTTAACGAAGTGTACGATCATCTTACAGATAAGATGCGGCCGCTGTGTAGCCATCTTTGTAACGCGACATAATTCACCGGCGTCCTGTTATCTACCTGAGTGTGCTTTCGTGCAGCCAGCTTTGCTATAGCCTTGGTGCTGTAAATGTTCTTTTTAAATCGGTATTGCAGCAACCTCGACGGTCAGAAAATAAAGACCAGCTGCGCAGTAATCACCTCTTGCGTTGAAATTCTCTGGCAGAACTACTTGAGTGTCAAAGAGAGCAATCAGCTGGACGATAAGTTTTCTTGCAGCCTCGTAGCAAGTAGTTTAAAACTCCCTTAGTATCTGTTTCATTTTATACTGTATCCGGGTATGTCGATAAAATACGACTATTATAATGAGTTATTGAATGGTGCTGGTCCCGTTGGCAGCAGCTGCTTGCTCGAAGGGGCACACAGTGTTGAACATTATTAAAATGGTTCGGTAACTAAAGTTTCTGCCTTTCAACCTTCAACATGAGCTCTTGCCTGATTCAAACAATCAAATCATTTTCGGTCACTGCAAATATTTAGCGTAACTCCACCTAGAGACTTCACAACGACTTCGAACTTGCTAGTGCTATCGAGCTCGTTTCGCTGCTATCTGGACAGCTCAGTGGAACTCCCGCTTCATAAAGCGTGCCAACGAGGGTCACTCGAGCTCCTGGATGGCGATCAGAATAGTAGTGACGTTTACGCTAGCGGCGCAGCGAGCAATAACTACCGGACGCTTCGCAAGTACATTCGCGCAGATCGCCACAGCAAATAGTACCAGTTCACGCTGCCTTTATCCGAAGCTGCGCGTTTGAAGAGCTTGGAGATGGTAGAGTGGTTTTAACGGTTAGATATTAGGGATCTATCGTCCGAGAGATCGTAGTAGTTGACGCTGCTAGCGTTGGAGCCAGTGTGTGCAAGATACGTGTAGATAAAGTTTGGTACACAGATACATACAGTAGATACACACTTTTCAACAGTAGGCATACAACATGCAACAACCTCTGACATATTATCAAAGATCATCATCTTCGCTATCGGCATCCTGAACATCTAACTGATCTGGAATGGAATCCAGGTCGTTAGTATCGTCGAACAAGTCGATATCATCCAGTTCTTCACCAAAGTAGTCGTACGTGTCCACTGAGTCGAGTAGGCTGCTGTTGATGTAGTTGAACGCCAGCTTTTCCATTGTGACAGCATTCATTCGGTTCCGTCGGATCGACCACAGAAAGGAGTACACACTCCACACTCGTTCTGCAGCCAGGGATGCCGAAAAATAAATTGGTGCTGCAACTATTGCAATAAGAAAGCACCAATTATCTATTGGAGACTTTCTGGAGAGGAAGATCAATTATTTATTTTCGCTCCCGTTGTAGCACCAATAATCTATTGGGCGGTGTTTAATTGGCCATACATTCTTTGATACTGGTGCCCTCGCTGTGTACCAATTTTGCAAAATACCGGCAGCTATGTTCTTCGAGGTTTGCACAACTCCACCTGTGCTTACTGATTTCAGGAAAAATGGCTTGAAGCCTGGAACAATGACGACGTAATTAACGATATGCTCGTTTGAGTCGTTTGACCACCCATCGCTGACAATTGAGAACCACTTTGCTGACCGAATGGCTTCTCTTACACGCGACAAAAGTTTGTTGTAGGTCGAATTGAGATGTTTTCCAGCAATCGAACGCGCCGATGGCATGATTTCAACGTAGGATGGCCGTAGAAGTCGAATGACTTTCTTCATGGCTTCTGAATCTATGACTCGAAATGATATCCCAGTACGGAATACCAGATCTGCAATTGCAGCGTCGATATGAGCGGCATCAGCTTTTGAGATGGCGTCCAGAAAATTAGCCGTCGTCTGGAGGAAGAGGCGTTTCTTATGCGGACGCAGGACGAACGTGAGCTTCAGCACGCTTGGTGCCAACCGACACAACAACTCTGCCGGCACGAAGATGTTTCAGGTCCATGAACAGGCCGTTTTCGTTTTCACTTATCCCTTCACAGTTGTTTGAGACCTTGTGTGAAATGACGCGCTCTCGCACCCACGGAACATCGCGTCGACAAACGCGACACTTGCCTTTCTTGACGCCTGATTTTGACAAGTATGAGTTGATGTCGAACTGCAGAGGGTCGGGTGTTCTTCTGGCGGATAACATCGTGTCGATCGCGTTAATGAAACTGGACGGCGGAGATACCATTGATGAACACGTTGTCGTAAGATGGTGCTGGAAGGAGGGTAGACTTGTACTGTAGGGTGTTGGGCAGAGCAGATCGAAGAATGGCGCTTCGGAGAGTAAACACCATTATATAGACATCTTGGTGAAGCTCGCTATAAGTGAACAAAGTCGTCTTTAAATGTGCTATCCCGCAATACTCAAGCGCGCTTCAGATAACCTACTTATAGATGAAGCATGTCGACACCTTCAGCATCTTATCCATAGCTGAAATCCTTCCTGGTTGAAGGAGCTTTGTGTGCAAGATACACGTTTCCGAATTTTAGTACACACATACTTTACGTATTCCTACGCGTACTCTAATCTACATGTATCTGTAGATGCGCACACTAGTTGGAGCTATCGAGATTTTGCAATTTTTCCAATGATAACGCCTCGGCGGCAGGGAACCTGAAAAAAGAATATGCATCAATATGAATCCTAATTTTTTTATATAATTATTAATTCTTACCCCTCAATTCATTTTTGAATTTATTACAAATCATTCATGAATTGCCAAGGTACAGGCCATCAAAGTCCACAGGGTCGCTTGCTAACCAGTCATTTACAATACAGGCTGCCGGCCACGTCCAAACCTACAAAACGTCCGCTCAAAATTCAATCTACAGTCTTCTGGACACCCCTCTACCGCTACAGTGCCCTCTCTGCCCATCATGGTCCTAACGAGCAGCACAACTTGCTCAATACTCTTCACTGAGGTCAGTGGCGGCTTCTACAACTGCACGACCTGCGGCAAGCAGTAGAAGAAGGCCAACGGCTACACGAATCTACTGAACCACCTACGACGCAGCCACGAGGACTATGAGCAAGAAGCCCAAGAAGCTGCGCGCCATCCGAATTCCCTAAACCCTCGCCTAGTCAGCCAGCATACGCGGGATCTGTACCGTTGGATCGAATGGGTGATTTGTGAGCGCCTACCGTTTTGCATTTGTGGAGCGAAGGCTAACCCGGCTGAATGTGGCACTTTCTACCGTGTCAGAGGACACGCTACTGCGCTATATAGTATTGCTGCTCGAGGTAGTTGAGGGCTGTGTAGCCAGTGAGTTACCCGAATCATTTTGTCTCGTATTGGACGGCTGGACAAGCGACAACCGTCACTACGTCGCAATCTTTGCGGTATTTGACTGTGCCACCGGTAATACCGGTAAAACCGGTAGCAGCACGGCCAGTGAGTACTACGAGGACTTAGAGTGCTTATCCCGTCGCTTCGTGATGTTAGCTTTCTCGCCCGTAGAGACGGAGGAAGATCTTAGCGCACAGAGCCAGTACGACCTAATCGCCGATACGCTGTCGCAATACAACAAGCCCTGGAGCGCAGTAAAGTTCATGGTCGGAGTAACTGCTCCGTTAATCAGTACATTGGCCGGAAGGAGGGTGCTATACCGCTAATCGGATGCGCAAGCCACCGCTTTAATTTAGCGGTCAAGGACTTCCTCAAGAACGAAGACGAGTTGATAACCAAGGTCCATATCGTGATGTCCAAGTTGCGTACGATCAAAGGTAGAGCCATTCTTCGACGCGTCTCCCATCTGTCACCTCTGCTGAGGAACGACACCAGATGGTCGAGCACGTACGAGATGGTAGAGCGCTACGTCAAACTCCAGTCGCCAATTGTTCATCTGGGCCTCAATGTCCTCGTGGAGCATGATGTGCAGCCTCTCCTACTACGGCGTGCGGGGCACGAGCGCGTCAAGGCGCTTCTTAAAGATTTAGCAGCTTTTGAGGCCGTTACCAAGGAGCTGCAGAAGTCTACGCTAACTTTGTCCGCTACGCGACGTCTTTTTGACCAGGTTGTAGAGGAGTACCCAGCCCTGAAGCCTCGGCTGTCAACAACGGCATCTATAGTGAGCAACCCCAATTTAAAGCAAGGCTTAGTCAGGTTACAGCGTGGGGAGGCGCTAAACGCTGCGGAAAAAATAGCCTGCGCTGAACTTAGGTCGCCTGATCTCGAACGGTCGTCTTCAAGAGCCGCCCAGGAGTGTTCAATTGTGAGAGCAGCGTTCAAGAAACGCAACGTCGTGAAGCGCGCGTACTACGTTGACGTCGAGTACATCCCGCCAACGTCTAACGAGTGTGAGCGCTTCTTCTCTCTTGCTAAGCTGGTGCTGTCTGATCTACGGAAGCGAATGTCTCCAGCCAGGCTTGAAATGATAATGTTTCTGAACTACAATCGCGACTTGTGGAACATGAGTGCGCTGGCAAGGTACGCTCGAGTATGGGCCGGAATAATGCAAATAATTAAATTATTAATTTACTCAGCTCCCATCGATGTATTAATCAAGTATTGCATTTTCGGGTTCCCTGCTCGGTGGATCCTTCCTTTCGAGATACCGGCGTAGGGCTCCAAGTTCAATGGACCGGTCAACATGCTCTCGCTGCGGTGGCCAACGGCCACGAACGGGTCGTGTGGTGGCTCCGAAGTAAGCGACCAATGGAATTGATCATAAATTGGAGACGGCGGTGCTGAACGGCGACATTCCATTGGCAGAGTGGCTGCTGACGAAAGGCTCCAGGTGGCCCATACGCCTAACACATCCTACAAAGAAGTTGCATTGTCGCAGCACTTGGGCAGTTGGACGTGGTGGAATGGCTATTCAAGAAGAAACATGGTCTTATTGTCCGTAACAACGCGGGACTGCTGATGGTAGCAGCTGAAAAAGACCACCTTACTGCTGTGCAATGACTTATTGATCGCGCCCGCGAGACATTACGGTCATGCATCAGGTTCGCGCTCCACAAAGCTCATGGGTCATAGTGGAGAAGCAAGCTTAACGATCCGCGCTGCTGCTGTGAGCGGGCACCTCGAGGTTGTGAAATACCTCCGTGCACGAGCAGCTAGTCGTATTGATTCGTTACAGCGGTCCAAAGCTGGTTTAGAGCCAGCACGACAGCTCGAAATACTCTTTCAAGGATGTGGTGGTGTGTTACATGTAGACGCTGCTGATGTATATGGGAGAACTTTGGCCCTTACCGCGTCGAATGGCCACCTTGATGTTGTTAAATGGTTTAACAAGGAATAAGAAACTGACCCTGATACCAAGCTATTCGACTATTAACCTCCAAGAAACCATTTGCGCTGCTACGAATATACACCTGGAAGTGGTACATCAACTTGCGGTATCTCGGACTGCTCCATCCAAAAAGCGAAATGAGCGACATAATCAACCTATTCCAAAATGCGCCATCCATCGCTGCTGCTAATGAACATTTGGAGGCTTCACCAGCGTCGAGAAGAAGGTTACACTACCCACGTCATGGATGATGCAGCCGCGGGCGAGTATTTAACCGTGGTGCGTTGGCTGTACGATGCTCAGTCGGAGGGATGCACGACAGCAGCAAAAGATGCAGCGGAGAATGGCTGCATACTAATCGTGGGGAAGGATGCACCGTGGCAGCGATATTTAATTCGACGTCGTATGGCTATCTGAAAGTGGTGCAATGGCTGCAGTTGCATCGCTTCGAGGACTGCACAACAAACGCTCTCGCTGGTGCTGTAAAGTCAAGAAACTTCGAGATGGTATTATTCCTTCGCTTCCTCTACCACACCCACTTCATGGACACTCCAGCTGCCGATGACAAATAGCCCCATATCAATGCGTGGATGTTGGAGAACTACTACTCGGAAAATCTGAGCTGGTGTCCTCGCCATGTTATGAAGTATCAGCAAAATTTCAAAAGGGGATAACTGCAATTATGTTGTCTACGTTAAGAATGTATACATGTATACGCTCGTTACACAAACAACGCAGGATGCTTTAAAGGTCAAGCTCCATCCTGAAACGAGTGTATATCTTTGGTTTTGAACATACAGCCCATCGAATCGATGAGTTGTAATGAGCTGACATGCCGACCGAGCTGTGCTTTGATGCCAATTTGAATGAAAAAAACAGCATTTCACCAAGAAGCACCACAAAGTTTTATTGCAGTGGAACTTCTCTAGTTGCTGTCGGTCTACAGCTCATCTATGGCTCGATTCCACCTGGAGGTACACTTGTATGTGTACTTCCATTAATTAAAAAAAATGGTATTTTCTGCCTCAGCTTGTGCTAATAAAAGAGAAGAAGCTTCAAGGTTCTAGTGCTGCTGACGGAACTAAAAGGGCTGTACCCTACTGTAATTAACTACGCAGTACGTTTAGGTAATAATGAACTTGTCCGTATGAGCCGATCGGAGCCGTGCACCGGTACTGCTTGCAAGGTGGTAAAGTTGCTCTTTCATAAAAAACGTCAATGTCCGGAAAAAAATGTTTTGAGTCAGCTATATTCCATGTCAAAGACCTTTTGAAGTCTTCGTCGTTGTGCACGAGCCGAAATAGGAAATGTGAAAATGTACCTTGAACTTCCAATCTTCACGATAGTGATTCCAGCTCCAACTTTGCTCGGAGTATTGAAGACGGTGACAGATGAAGGACCAGACCTCCAAAACTTGGTTGGAATTCAGCTCGAATTCTTTGTTAGATTTCGACGAGGGTCAGTAGAAATGTGATTTTGGTACAAGGCAACGAGCAGTGATTAATTAACAGCCCGTCGATAATATACTATCTAAAAGGTCCCTTTACATGCCGACGTAAACGATATGCTCTAATGACAATGTCTGGGGTGTCTACGAGAATGTTATTTAACAATATCGCTTACGTCGGCGCCTCAAGCATAGTTTGCACTCGAGAATCTACTCGAAACTCATCTCGTTTCCATGGTTTTCGCAGGAATACATCATTCAATGTAACGTTAGCTACCCGTTGCATGAAGGTACTGGGGTCAATTCTTGTGGCGTCCTGAAATTTCCTAGTCTTTCAATGAACGCCTCCGACATACATGTAGCGCTGTTTCTTATGGGATTAATTATTCTCATTGAGAGCGTTCACAGAAGGTTTTAAATTCTTCGATACGATGCATATCGAAGAAATGCCGCTAGTACTCGGTATTAATTGGCATCAATGAACGTCACTCTAAAATGAAATGAAAAAAATTGCTCCAAGCGGAGCACTTGCAATTTTAACAATGTATTTAAAAGT